CCGGCCGCACGACGCCCTGAACCTGGCTGTGCCGGCCGAGCGCTACCGACCGAGCCCGAGGGCCTTCAAGAAGGATGTCGAGCCCTTCGACCATGCCGATGGCGAGATCGTGCGGTCGGTCGACACGAACGGCCGCTTCAGCTTCGCCGGCCGGCAGCTCAAGGCTTTCAAGGCGCTGTCCGGCAAGCGCATTGCGCTCCGGCCCACCGACAAAGACGGCGTCTACGACCTCGTCTTCCGCAACATCGTGCTCAAGCCCATCGACCTCCATCGATAAGCCACGCTAATCTGAAATCCGTTCACCATGTCTCCGAACAGGTGTTCACCATCTCCCCGGCTCAAACAGCAATCAGAGTAATGAGCCGGCGAGTTCACCCCCCCGAGACTGGAACACGCCTGCCATACCAGACGACCGTGCGGGCAAAAAGGGCTGCTACCCAGAGAGGCAGCAATATCAATTCCCGAACAAGCCAGGCCAGAAAGGTATATCGCCCCACATAACGGTGAACGATCGAAAACACCGTATCAAGCAAGCACCACAGCAGAACAACAGAGGCCACGCCAACCAACGGACAACCGAGCAATCCGCCCGCTACCACAGCTGCAGCAAAGGCAGTCGGCAGGGTCGAAAATAATGCCTCTGCGATGAACACGACCGGAATGTACTTTCGCCTGCATCCTAGCCAACGGCGATGCCGGCGCAGGACGTCACGGTAGCTCTGTTCTCCGATCGGCTGCCTGACAGGAAGGTCACTAAGAACCACACGGCGGCGTGAATCCCTGACCATGCGTGTCAGCGCGGCGTCTTCACAGCAATCCTGATTTGCAGCACGAAGCCCGCCGAGGGCCCGTACGGTTGAGCGCCGCATCAGAACCGTCTTTCCGAGCGCCCCGGAGAAACCGACACAATCGCCAGCCAGATGCAAGCGCGCGAACTGACCATTCATGAAAGCGCACTCAAGATGACCGGCAAAATTTTGTGCGCCTGTTCCGATGGCTGCCGCTGAAACGAGTCCCACGTCCTCTTCGAGATGGGCCACCAGATGCGACAAGTGACGGCGATCTACAAGGATGTCGTCGTCGGAAAACAGGATCAGGTCATTACGGGCATGGCGAAGCCCAACATCCATAGCATCGATCTTGGCATTCGGGCCATTTTCTCCAGCAGCCGCCAAAGTGCGGATAGCCTGATGGCCGAACCGGGCTTCCAAATCCCGCGCGATCCTGTCGTCGCTCTCAATTCGATCAATACAAATGAGAATCTCGACATCGCGCTGCTCCAAACAAAGCAAGGAACTCACCGCAGCGGCCCGTTCGGAAGAAGTGCGTGGAGTATCGTTGGCGCTGGTTGGCACAACGATCGTTACGCCGGGAACGGAGGTCGGGATTCCGGTTCTCCTCTTGAAAGGCTGCAGCAAGGCACAAGCGGTCGTACCGATCAGCCAGCTTAGAGACAACGCACAATAGATCCCCGCAAAGACCAAGGTGTCCATCCACCTACCCCTTACCGTGGAATCTTCGGATCGGCGGACGGATCAAACGCAGCATCCAGGACGGCCCGACCCGATGCATCCCAACTCGCAGGGCTTAGGTCTTCCCTAAAGCGTGCGAGGACATCGCGTGCCTTCCGGGGTCGCTCATCGTCGATTAGCCACTGATGCAACGCGGACATGAGTCCGTCAGGCTGATGAGGATCGAAATAGTCGACCAAGCCCCCCCCTGCCTCCATCGCACCGCCGCCATTGGAGGCCAGACATGGAGTTCCATGGGCGATGCTTTCGCGAATTGGCAGCCCCCATCCTTCGACTATGCTGGGAACGACGCAAAGACGGGCAGCAGCGTACAGCACCGAAAGCTCGGCATCGGAGACATTCTTGAGCCATGTCACTTGACCATCTTCGTGGCCTAGAGAGCGCAGGCGCGATTTGAATGCGCCGGATTTCCATCCGTCCTGCCCAACGATCACGCACCTAGGAAGAGGCCGCTTTTCCCTTCTGCAAACGGCAGAAAAAGCATCGATCAGGGCAACCATATTCCTCCGAGGCTCAATCTTTCCGACGCTGAGAAAATATTGCTGCGGCTCTAGGCCAAATCTTTCGAGAGTCTCCTTGATCTCAGACGAGGTAGGCGTCGAGGAGTGCTGGCTCAATCCCCAGCCCATCGGCAACGGGTGCATGGACGGTCCCGCGGCAGCCTGGTCACCCAAATAGGATTTCAACTGCGATTCCACAAATCGGGACGTCGGCATCCACACGTCGACATGAGGAGCCAGTTCGGCCAGCTGGCGAGTAAAATGGCCAAACCGGGAATGATTCCAGTCTGGATTATCCAGGTAAAAAAGGTCATGCAGGATAACAACGATCCGCATGCCTGTTCTACGCTTCAAGGTCACGACGGTGCGCGCATACTGAGGATGGCACCAGAAGTCCCCTGTGTTCACGAGAGTGTCAGCCTCAGTCGGTGGCTGGATCGGTGAGAAACGGAACGATCGGTCATCCATACCTGTCCAGAGCGGGGCGACCTTGTCGAGCCTCCCCCACCCCTTGAGGATATACCCGCCATCGAAGGATCTTGCCTCGGTTACCAAGCCGCTCAATGCAGGAGAACGCGAGGCACGAACCAGAATCCACCTCAAGCGCGAAATCGCACGGTCCTTCCTGCGCTCATCGGCTAGATCGAAAATCGCGGAGGGATCGATCCTGTGAAATCTGTGGTCGCCCAGCGGTCGGAAAACGAACTCCAAGTTCGGAAACGTCCTGATAGGCGCTGATCGAATGATGTGCTCGGTCACGCGCTGAATCCCTGAAGCATGCACGTGATGCGCGTACCATTGAAGTTGCCCGGTTACATCGAAGAGAAGTCGGCCATCCTTGTGTAGCATCGAACTGCGATTCAGCCGCTTTTGGGTGTCTGCTCAAACTTCGGAATTTTTCGGCTTAGCATCGACATAACAGCGAGCAAGGATACGGGCAGCATTACGAGATAAAGAGCCCACACTCTGAAAAGATCAGCGATCGTCGTCGCCGAGATGGATCGGCCGCAATGCTTCACGGCTAGCAACGTCCCTGCGGCACGCGTAGACAAGACGAGGGCGACTGACATCAAGAATACAGACAGGCCCAGCCCGAAATTGCTCTCGCCGACCAAGAAGGCCACCGCGAGAAGAAGCATATTGCTTGCAACAAGTAGCGGTCCACACGTGTCCAGAATAAACAGCAGCACAAAGAAGATGGCTTGCGCCGGGCCATTCTTCAGAACGGCTTTGAGTGGCATCACGGCGAATTGCTGATGCCATCCGATCGTCCAGCGCAGGCGCTGAGTAGCGAATTGAGAAACCGTTTCAGGCAAATGACCGGGCGCCGTCACGCTTGTCACAAACCTTCCATACCAGCCTTTCCTGAACGATCGAAAGCTTGCATCCACGTCTTCCAGAAAGGACCTGGGGGTCCAGCCACCTGCATCTTCAAGAGCCGCACGCCGCCATATTCCGCAGGTCCCGTTATAAGCGACCGGAA